ATCAGAATGTGTGTACTACTTGGGAGAGCAGTTGATTTACTTGTATTTGGTTGCATTTTTATATTCTTGTGTATGTGTATAATGTGTGTGGAGAAAGTCTGTGGTCATCAACTCTGTGTGAGTTGGTGAAATGAAGTAAGATATTGTAATAATCTAGTTTTAGTTAGATTAACATGGACCCACTTGGATTATATAACCATGGATTTTATTTTACCTTTACTATATATAGGTTGGTTAAATTTTTCTCGCTATTACAGTACATTTCTAGTCTTATGTAATTGTAACATACAGAAAAATATTTGTGAATATGAAAGGATTATGATAAAATAAGAAGACATGTTTGTAATTTATTCAATATATATATATATATATATATATATATATATATATATAATAATAATAATAATAATAATAATAATAATAAAGAAGTTAATGGTCAGAGTTTAATTAAATCAGAAATCATCTGAAGATAATAAAAGATTGAAACCAAGGTAATGGAATCGGCTGATTTCCTTATATATATATATATATATATATATATATATATATATATATATATATAAAGCATGGATAAGTGTTAACACTGCCCTGTAACTTAAGCCAACATTAGAGCATGCTTAAAGAGTGAAACTGTTAGTTCCCATGAAATGTTGATTTTTCTGTCAGGGCTGTGAGTACCTTTTTTTTTTATTACTTCAAATATTATTTTTTTAGCGGATATCTGTGTTTGAGTAGATGCCTTGCTTTTTATTTAAACAACATGTATTATGGCTGTCAGCCTGTGCACTCAAAAAAAGTGAATAAAGAAAATTTCTCTTCTCAATAAAACTCAATATAGAAGAATGGAAACCAGGCTTCAAAATGTGCAGAAAAGAAGTAGTCACTATATCCTGATGATGTGTTGGTCACACAAAACTAACACACTCCTTTTTACTTAAACAAGAAAACCAGCCAGAATGCATAGCATTCAAACACCCTATACTATTAAACACATCATAATAGAATATGATGATTTTACCATTATCAGACAATGCTTTTACAATACAAATAACATGAGAGATATATTCAAAAACTAGCTTAGAAGCCACCATATCAGGTGGCATTTAAGCTAGCTCCTGCAGAGGAATCTTGATTGGGTCTCCATTTCAATAGGTAGTGAGGAGCAGATGCGATATGCAACAATGTCAGAACTCAAGATTGGTCACTGCATTTAAGTATTGCATTAATACCTAAGCTTACTTTTAAAAGTTTAACAATAATTCTTTTACCACCACTTAATTTAAAGAAAATTTGATGTATGTAGGTCCTTACTTTCCATACAAATAATAATTATTTTTATTTCGATATGCAACAATGTTAGAACTCAAGATTGATCACTGCATTTAAGTATTGCATTAATACCTAAGCTTACTTTTAAAAGTTTAACAATAATTCTTTTTACCACCACTTAATTTAAAGACAATATGATGTATGTAGGTCCTTACTTTCCATGCAAACAATTATTTTTATTTCATGGTTGACTTTCACTGGATTTTGCAATTAATTTCAATTATTCCTAAATTTATTTCCAAGTTATAAAATTGTTATTGTACAAAAAAATTTGTCACAAAAAATCACGTTAAAAATTGCTGAAAACAATCAAAGTACTGAAAACTTGTAAATCCAAAATTTGGGAAATGGAGATGCTAGGTCAGGACCAATAGCATTGCAGATTCTTCTTTGGATTTCATCAATAATCTCTAAATATATTGCAGAAGCACCAGAACAAATGTAGCAGCAATATTCAAAGCATGGACAAATGGTAGACTTATAAATATTAAGATAGATTCAGAAGAGAAAAACTCTCTAGCATAACACAGGCGGAAGAAAGTTCCACAGGCGAGAAGTGTGAGAAAAGCAACTGTTAGCAAAGGAATTATGGTTTCATCTAGCCATTCCAACTGTAAAATGATGAGACCTTTCTGCCAATCTACTACAGCGCTTAAATTCATAAAGTTTAGGCACCATGGAAGAAAGTTCATCAGAACAATTACCATGAAAGTATTTATAGAAAAGGCACAGGGAAGCTACATTATGGTGATGAGAAAGGGACTGAAGCCAGAATGCCAGGTTAGGACCAATAACATTGCAGATACTTTTTGGGATTTTATCAAGAATCTCTAAATACCTGGCAGGAGCACCAGACCATATGTGGCAGGAGTATTCAAAACATGGGCGAATGTTGCACATAAATATGTAAAATAGATTCTGGGAAGAAAAATTGTCTAGCACAACACAGTGAACCAATTTCCTAGCAATTGATTCAATATAATCTTTCCACTTTATGTCAGCCGAGAATGTAAGCCTGAGAAGTCACAACAAGTCATTCTCTCAGAGGTTAATATCAGCCATGCTGATGGGAGGCAGGAAGAGATCTTTCAGGTGATTGTTAGAAGTTTTGTTTTGGAGACCGTAAAATTTTCTTTCTTTTTTTTTTTTTCCACTCTCTTTCTAATATAAGGACTCACCATGTGTTTGCGTCTGTGTATTATGTCAATGTTTCTCCAAGATATCTACATTGATTCCAATCAAACTTTGTTTATGATCATGACATTTAAAAAGATTTCTGAACAAGGGACTTCAAGATATAAATGTAATCTGATCAACCATTTGGCAAGAAACTTAAGCCTCAGTATAATGAAAATCAATACTCCAGATTAATTTTATTTTTTATAGCGCTATAGAAGAAAGCTAAGTCAGGAGAAATATGGGAGTCTTCCAAGTGAGGATAGTCTTCCTGCCTGTTTATAATATAAGCATTGGAAATTACAGTTTTGTTTCTGTAGTGAAACTGGCCATGGTTAAGTGTAATTGACAAATAACAAACAGAATTGACAAAGTTCTCAATAAGCAATAATAGAAGAAAGAAAAAGAACAGGGCAAAATAATATTAAGTAAATAATATATATGCAGGTCTAAAGTAGGCAAAGCAATGGTAATAAAGTAAAAATTTTACAAAGTAAAAAATATATTCATATGCAAAAGGGATACAGTCAAGTGATTATTGCATTTTTGACTTCAAAACATGAAAAGGACAAAAATATGGTGGATGAGACCAAGTACTGGTCCATTTTTATTAGTCCCAGCATGCATCTGTAGGATTTGTCTATAAATTTGGGGTTGGGATGTACATTGCTGACATTTGAAGGAGATTGGAACAATATATATATATATATAATGAAATGTTTGGTAATTTGTATGAATAATCTGAAGGCGGATGTAATCCAGAGAGCTCAATGTAAAAACAGAGTGATTATTAGTTTAAAAAACAGACAAACTTAAGGGTCCATTGATAATTAAAAAACAGACAACCTTATATATATATATATATATATATATATATATTAAACACTTCACCCCAAGCAAGGAAATAATTTCACAAGATGCAAGGGGGTACTGAGTGTTAGAGAATATGAGGAAAAATATTATTAAGGAGAGAGGACAATAAAAGAACAACAATTAAGAAGACAGAAGATAATGGTAGACAGTATCTATCTATATTTCTGAGATGAGGTATTATGTACACTATTTACATTATTCGGACTATAGTCTTCTTCTTTGTTGCCATATTTATTACAATGTTTCGCCCATTGTACACTCCAGCCTTCTTCAGATGGTTGGAATGTTAAACTGAACCCTTTATCTTGCTCACTAGATATTCCACATGCCATGTTTAATGGATGTCAGTTATCTCTTGTTAATTCTCCTCTCGAAGTTCTTCACTGCCTTAACCAGGTATTGAACTCATATTCTTTGGGTCCTGTAACTGGATCTAACCAATGCCTTTATCCACTGTGCCATGTGTCCTTGCCTGTATATGAATTTGTAGGTATTATAAACCTAATGTCATCAGCCACCATTTTAACCAGTGCTCATATTGCCATTTTTGCTGTTATCAATTTATGTTTTTACCAGAGCTCATATTGCAATTTTTTTTTTGTTGATATTATCACTTTTCTCTGCCACTCCTCATTACTGGTTCCCATATTGTATTCATTTCTATGCTTGGTCAAGGACACATATATGTGTATATGTGAGTGAGTATATATGTGTATGTATATATATATATATATATATAATATATATATATATATATATATATAGTGTTTGTGTACAATTAACATTGTAGAGAATAATAATAACATCAGACTAAATTTCTCATGTATAAAATGATTATTTATTCGGTCCTGGACTTTATCAATTGAATATTGGATAAGGATGTGTAGCTTTGAGGGTTTTCTTCAAATTTGAATCTTCATCTCACAAGAATGTGAGAGATTCTTGGTTCTTTCCCTCTCAGGTGGAGAGCTTATATATCTTCCTGTCATACAGCTTTCCCATGCAGAACTGGTTTGACTACCTGTTTACATATTGGGGTCTGTCACTGAAATCTGTGAGATATGAATCTGCAGGTTATGGCTGCAAGGTCACTTTCCATATCAACCCTCTGATGCATCTTTCTCCTCTGATGCTCTGGCATGACACTACTACTACTACACAAGTCTACTTTGGTATCTCTTAGAGTGAGTCTGTTTCATTATGGGGTCACCATAGATCAACATTGGTTAGAAAAAAGATTAGTTATTAAGATTAAATTCAGTTAAGACAATCTGGTATTTCATGACATGAATCACATGCTACATATATATATATATATATATATATATATATATATATATATATATATATATATCTTTTTCTTAAATATTTGATAATAGCATTTGTAGAAAATATGTGTGCAAACAATGTGTATGTGTTTGTGCAAATATACAAATATATTCCATTATATATATATATATATATATATATATATATATATATATATATATATATAAATAAATATGTGTGTATGTGTGTGTTATATAGTTGACTTGTTCTTTATTTGCATGCATTCATGTATTTAAATTTGTTTTATTTTTTCTTGCAGAATGAATGCTGTTAATGTTTGTGCCTTTTTTCAGATCCGTTCACTTCCCAACATTTTAAATCACCCCCATCACTGACTGACCAGAATACACCCAAGAAACCCATATCACAAATAAACTTCTATCCTGGAGACACAAACCCTTCTTCCAGGTCTTTACATAAACCCAACATTGGTCATGTCCCTGATTGTAGTCAGTGGATTGACCTGAAACCAGCTACAGAAGACAGTGGTGTCACTGGCCCACATTTACAATCAACCTGCTATCTCCCTGAAAGCAGGGGCTCTGCTTCTGAGCCAACACAATTCACCTCGGTACCACAGGTACTTTATTAAGATTGTTCTTGAACAGGTCACACATTCCTTGTAATTTTAAAACTTAAAAAAAAAAGAATGAAAAAATTTAAAAAAGAGAAAAAAAAAAGCAAAAAGAAAAGAAGAGAGAAAAACTTAACAAACCCTCCAAGTCATTGTCATTAAGTTTTAACGTTAAAAAAAAAACGAAAAAAAAACACTGAAAGAAAATTGGAAAGGAATAAATGACAAACAATTTCATCAGATTGAACCCATTTCATCAAAATTTTAAAAAGAAACAAACTTTTCATGATTGATTGTTTTATATGGTTTTAATTTGCTGTACATATTCTTTTTTTATATTTCTCAGATATAAAGCATAATTTTCAGTTGTACATTATCGTTATGTTTTTGTGTTCGTCAAGTGTTTTGAAGGAACAAAATAGAAAATCAAAAATAAATGAAAAAGAAGCTAACAAAAATCAAACCAAAACCACAAACAAACAAAAAAAAGAAATAAAAAAATGCAATTACAGTCTTAATGAGTTTCTTCAAAATGGCTCCCCAATCCCCAAAAGTCATTTAGGCTAATTAAGTTCTGATTAGTCCTAGTAGAATAAATAGTATCAAGGACTACCTTTAGTCAGTCTAGCAGTTTATTTTTTTTAATATTTGATTCTTACAAATTATAAATTATTGGAGTAATTGCATTGTATAATAATATAGTTACTAACAAAAATAGCATCACCAGAAGATAAATATAACAAATATTAGTAGTAATAAAAAATATAAATATAAAATCTATACTTTAACATATGTGGAATATGACAAGTCTGTCACTGCTCTATCACAACTACTGCAGAAAGTGCTTGACAAACTGCATCTCCTGGTTCCACCAGGTCTGACCTTCATGTAGCTAGGACCCACCCTGCCACTTACATAGTAGCAAACCATCAACATTCCCTCTTTATTCCATTGGTGAAAAATAAGTTCCACTCAAACAGCTCCTTCCTGCAAACCACTGCCCTATGTAACAAGCTCCCCAATCACTATAATCTTAACCTGTTCAAGATCGTCCTCTCCTATTTATATAAACTGCCACTTAGCATAACTCTATATCTTGAGTAGACCCTGAGCCTTGTACAGAGTAAAACTTACTGCAAATAAAAAAATGTTCTTTAAAATAATCTAAAAAGCAGAGAAAATTACCTTTTTATCCTACAAACTTGATTGGAGAAAAATTCATTAACCATGCGAGCAATACTGTATTTAGTCACATGATAAAGTTAATAATGATCATATTGAAGATAAGTTTAAAAATATCCCTTTCTTGCTGGTGTTCACATTTATTTTGTACCAATAAGATGGTTTTGGGAGGGGTTACAAGTGGATTTTATCTCTCTGAAAAGTGTTTATATGAACAAATGTTTTCAATAAAGGAAACAGTGACACAATCTATGCTCAGAAATGACTACAAACTGGATAAACTTTTGATAAAGTTGAAATTTTTTTGCACTAAAATTAAATTCTATTTGTTGAAGTGTGTTTTGCATCAATGAAATATTAGGAAGAGTCAAAACTAATTTCTGTTTTTGTTTGTCAAATTTATTCTACAAAATATCACAGTTGGTTCGGCAAAATGAAAATTTTTTATGATTCAACCTAACATAAAAATAATTAAACAAATTTTACCTTTAAATTTACCATAACTAATACAATGAACTCATGGATATTTAATTATCCTGAAGGTGTCTATATATATATATATATGTGTGTGTGTGTGTGGGTGTTTATTATATATATGTATGTGTGTGTGTGTGGGTGTTTATTATATATATGTGTGTGTGTGTGGGTGTTTATTATATATATGTGTGTATGTATTATATATATGTATGTGTACGTATATTATATATATGTTTGTGTGTATATATATATATATGTGTTATATATATATATATATATATATATATATATATATACGTGTGTGTGCAAATTATATATATATATGTCTCTGTGTGTATATTATATAAATATCTATATATGTGTATATATATATATATATATATATATATATATATATATATATATGTGCATGTGTATATTTATATATGTATATTTTATATACAGGTATGTTTATATATATAATATATATATGTATATATATATATATATGTATATCATAAATATATATGTGTGTATATGTATATTATATACATATAAATGCATATATATTTTAAATATATATATATATATATATATATATTCTAAAGAAATATATCTGTGTATATATATACACACACACACATATATATATATATATATATATATAAAGAAATATATCTGTGTATATGTACACACACACACACACATATATATATATATATATATATATAAGAAATATATCTGTGTATATGTATACACACACACACACACATATATATATATATATATATAAAAATATATCTGTGTATATATATGTACACACACACACACACACACACATATATATATATATATATATATATATATATAAGAAATATATCTGTGTATATGTATATTACACACACACACACACATATATATATATATATATAAGAAATATATCTGTGTATATATACACACACACACACACACACACACACATATATATATATATATATATATATATATATAAGAAATATATCTGTGTATATATATATTGTACACACACACACACACATATATATATATATAAGAAATATATCTGTGTATATGTATATTACACACACACACACACACACATATATATATATAAGAAATATATCTGTATATGTATATTACACACACACACACACACATATATATATATATATATATATATATATGATATATAAATATATGTGCATAAATATATATGGTGGTGTGTGTGCTAAGTATTTATGTAGACGCGTGTTTGTGCAAGTAGATATGTGTGTGTTAGTATATATATATATTTATGTGTGTGTATATATGTAAGTATATGTATATATATATATTTATGTGTGTGTATATATGTAAGTATATGTATATATATATATATATGTGTGTGTATATATATGTAAGTATATGTGTGTATATATGTAAGTATATATGTGTGCGTATATGTAAGTATATATGTGTGCGTATATGTAAGTATATATATGTGTGCGTATATGTATATATATATATATGTGTGCGTATATGTAAGTATATATATATATATGTGTGCGTATATGTAAGTATATATGTGTGTGTGTATGTAAGTATATATATATATATATATGTGTTTGTGCGTTTGTATATATGTAAGTATATATGTGTGTGTGTGTGTTTGTATATATGCAAGTGTGTGTGTTTGTATATATGTAAGTATATATGTGTGTGTGTGTGTTTGTATATATGTAAGTATATATGTGTGTGTGTGTTTGTATATATGTAAGTATATATGTGTGTGTGTGTGTGTTTGTATATATGTAAATATATATTTATATATGTGTGTGTGTGTGTGTTTGTATATATGTAAGTATATATTTATATATGTGTGTGTGTGTGTGTGTTTGTATATATGTAAGTATATATATATGTGTGTGTGTTTGTATATATGTAAGTATATATATATATATGTGTGTGTGTTTGTATATATGTAAGTATATATATATATATGTTTGTGTGTGTATGTATATTAGTATATATATATATATATATATATATATATATATGTGTGTGTGTGTGCGTGCGTGTGTCTGTTATATTTTGAATTTTTCTCTGCAAGTCAATCTTTTCACAATAATACTGATATTAATCAACAGTTATTGTTAAAATTTCCAGAAATATATTTATAATATGTTTTGTGAGTTTCAGCTTTTAATATCTGTAAAAAGGACAACTTATTGACACGATGCCTTTGCAACAGAATTTCTATTGACTATGTCAGTGTGTGACACCAAAATAATAATAATGCATTGCCAAATATAATTAATGCTTAGTTATTAATTTAATAAATCAAGTTTCATTTTAAGTAAGCATCATAATTTTGAAACAATTTCTTTTACCTTGGGTTCAGAGATAACTTTCTGAAGAAAAAGGATGGCAATTCATATATTCAGCCTGTTTTTCAATGGTTGCTACAACAGATTTTGACTGTGCACATTGTTGCTAACTTTTCCTACATAAATTTTACAAAACTTATTATTTCATAGGTGATAGTATTTATTTGATACTAATGTAAAACTTTAATTTTTTATAAATATAATGTACCTTCAGAATGCAAGTTTTCATAGCCCTCCACAACTTCTTTTTCTTTATTCTGCATGAATGTCTTTGTAAAGTTATTTGAGTGGTTTTCTTGTGGCCTTTTTCATGGTTTTGAATTCAGATTTGTTCTTCTCTTAGACTGGCTCCCATTCGCTGATTGAGAGTCCTGTTTGCCCAACTTTTTTGAGTAAAATTGGATTAATGCCTCTCCCAAGAATACTAGTGTGAAATTGAATGCAATAGGCATGGCCATAATTTGAACTTCCATGGTAATAACTACTCACACATCTAAAAAAAAAAAAAAAGACCATGTAACCTAGGCTGTAGCTTTGGACATATGGAAAAGCTTTGACAGGGCTTGGCATATATGTCTTTTCCACAAGCTGAAAAGTTACTCTGTCTCCAGACTCATTTTTGAATTAATCCAGTCTTTCCTATTAAATTGTGAAATGAAAGTTACCTCAAATGGCCTTTTATCTAGATCCTTTTATACTAATGCAGGTGTACCTCAAGGTTCCATTCTTGAACCTACTGTTTTTAATTTTCATTAATGACCATCACAATGACATCAGCTCTCAACTAGGCATCTATGCTGATGAAACAACCATTTTCTCCTACATCAGTAGTAAGACGACTGATCAATCTGACAAGGTCATAATTGCAGCTGATGTCCAAAACAACCTCAAGTCTGTTGTTAACTGGGGCAAAAGATGATTTGTTAATTTATTTAATAATTTTAACACCTCCAAAACTAAACTTCTTTCCATTAATCATCTGAGAGACCCCTCTCT